ATCCTCATCTTGTAGTTAAAGCATTCCTACATGGGAGCAAGGACCGACATTCCCACCCTAGAAGCTCATTCCTTGACATCGTTTGTCCAGGTTTCCAGTGTAGTGACCATCAAGTGTTCTTCTATGAATGTTTTCATGCAGAGAGGGCTCTCAGATTGGAAGAAGTGTGCACCTTGTTTGTGTCAGTAAATCTTCCTGAAGCTGTAATCCCGGAGTGAGGCTTCAGCCTTGCTTTCATAGAGGGATTTTCCAGTAAGCCTCTGAAGGAAGACAGTGGGACACGGTGGCTGCACATTTAATTTTAACCATACCTACGAGAGTCAAAGTTATTACAGAATATGGACATTAAAGTAGATTTCATAACCATGTTTATGACACACAGTATTAGGCTTTACCACTAGAGCCATTAAGGTTTTAAGAAGCTTGAAGTATCGTCATACTGTGTGCAGTGATTTCCCCCTAGAGGCAAAAGTCTGACATAGGGCAGACGCTTCTCGAATGGCAGGTGAAGCTGTCAAACCAATGTGTGAAATTTTTCACAATATTTTTACTTGTACACAAGAGAAAGGGTCTAGCTATCTGCAAATGTTTCAGAAGCTTAATACAAATTCTACAATTGGTTTACAGTTATTGGTTGTGTCTTTGTGCTTCTTAAAAAATAAATCAAAGTACAAATAAACATGTAGCAGCCTCCTCAGATAAACATTCCTGGAGGCAACAATTCTGCCTTGGAAGAAGAAGAGATGTAAGGATGTGTGTAGGTGTAGAATGCAGAGGGTGGATGTGGTGCACATTATGGTTCTGGCTTTGCTGCATTGCAAGGGAGAGAATCAGGCGTCCTTTTGGACACCAGTTCTTACTGGTGTCCAAAAGGACAGAAGCAACAGGCTGTTCAGTGTTGCAGCACTGTTTTCTTACCACAGTTCATGTTCTTGGTATTGATGGTCTCCATGGTAATGTTCTGTGCAGTGTAAAAGTTTTGTGAGATCATGGCAGGACAAATAAAATAGTTTATTTGCACTTGTCATAAGATGTTAACAGAATAATTGAACGTGAAACCACACAATAGCAGTTAGTCAGCCACAGAAAGGCTTTCATTCTGAGAAAATGGCTAAATATTTTGACCACTCATGCTTACACAATGTCAAAGGAACCTGGCAATAACTCATTCAGTGACATTAGAAAAAGCTCATGCATCCAGCAGAACTGTGGTGTTTTGCTAAACGCATGAGCTGCTTTGGGAAATGCATCAACACTTCGAGGAACATCGAAACTGTGTTGAGAAATATTCTAAAGCAACTGAGAAAAGCTGTGATAGGAAACGTGGACATTTTCACGTTTTCTCAATTGCTTCTGAGTATTTTTGAAACCTTTTTTAAGGTTGCACTACGGAAGATACATTTCTAAAAACGCGCGTGCAGGGAAACACATTTGAGTCAAAATAAAAGCTTTGTGTCGATGAATGGCTTCTGTACTGCTGTGGTGTATCAGGGTGGATGCTCTTCAGGTGTTTATTTTACTGGGTTTTACATTCTACTTTGTATGGCAAAAGAACTCCTTTCATTTGCATGTTACGTGAGCGGGACAAAAAGCACGCTAATGGGGGAAGAACTACAGCGTGTGCTTTTGCCATCCTCCTTTATTCTGTTGTCTCCCCCTTGATTCACGACCACGCATTCTCTTCTTCACCCATGGACTCTTGAAAGATGTTGTTTTCTCACGCGCCTCCATATTTACAAAGCGTTGTAACTCTCAGGCTCTATGATTATGTTGTATACAGTATGTGTGGACTAAATGGAGTTTTATGCATTTATGATTTTTCTACGTTCAGTGGGCACTTTGGTAGGTACACAAGTTCACTAGTTCCAAGCTGGACCACCTTTTTCCTTGAGAAACTGCCTTCATTGCACAGATTTAACAAGGTGCTGGAAACATTCATCATATGAATCTCCCCTTCTACCACATCCCAAAGGGGCTCTATTAGATTAGGTTCTGGTGATTGTGGAGGACATTTGAGTACGTTGAACTCACTGTTATGATCAAGAAATCAGTTTAACAAGATCTGAGTTTTTGACACAGTGCGTTATCCTGCTGGAAGCAGCCATCAGGGTGGTCATAAAGTGATTTATGTGATCATCATTTGTTATAATGAAACAAACAATTCAGTTTTATTTATATACACAACAACAGCGCTACAATAATACACAGAAAACACTACTCAATTACACCACTCCCAGCAGCATGTACCTTTAAATACAAGGTAAAATGGATCAATGTTTTCATGTTGTTTCAGCCAAATTTGGACGCCACCATTTAAGTGTTGAAGCAGAAATCAGGACTCATCAGACCAGGCGACATTTTTCCACTCTGAGGATGTTTTAAGTTATAGCCTCAGTATCCCATTTTTAGCTGACAGGAGTAGCAACCAGTGTGGCCTTCTGCTGATGTAGCACATCTGCTTCACGTTTCAACGTGCTGTGCATTCAGAGATGCTCTCTTTCATACCTTGCTTGTAACAAGAGCACTTAGAAACAGTCGTCCATTCCCCTCTAACCTCAGGCATCAACAAAGCATTTTCTCCCAGAGAACTGCTGCTCCCTGGATATTGTTTCTTTTTCCATTCTCTGTAAACCCTAGAGATGGTTAAGGATGGAAAATCCTAGTAGCTCGTCAGCTTCTGAAATACTTAGACCAGCATGTCTGGCCATGTTTAAAATCAGTTAAATTGCCTTTCTTCCCCATCCCGATGCTTCATTTTAACATCAGCAGGTCAAATTGACCACATCTACATGCTGAAATGCATTAGGTTGATTAGCTGATTAGATATTGGTATTAATGAAGAGCTGAACAGGTGTACTGAATGAACAGTGACAGCGAGCACTTTACTTTAATATTTTAAATGTTAGATTTTTACCATAAAACTCTTACGTGCACGTAACTTTTATGTGTGAGGCTGATGGGAATTACTTCAGTTTTGCTGCTATTTGCTGGAACAAAAAAACAAAAAAACCTTCCACAGAGCAGAACAAGACTAATGGCTTCTAGTCATTATCTTCATCCTCTGGGAAACGCAATAATCTCTATAAATTTATTTTCAGTCTGGAACAAATATGTGGACGCTGCAGACGGACGGACAAAGGTTCCCAAAGTGGCTAAAAGTAAAACCACACACAACAACACACGAATCTTTAACGGTGAGAAAAAACAAAGTTCTCAGAAGAAGGATTGATTTAGATTTTAATGGGTATTATACAAGTCATCCGAAGGAAAAAGGAAACACTGAAACAAGAGGCGAATGAAACCCCAGTTCCAAACCAAAACTACAACATTATCAGCTAACAAAATGGATAGTGCTATTACACTGTACCCAACAAATACTGAGCGAGGGTATCATTATAATAAGACATAAAAGTGTTTTCTTCTCTAAAACATATGAGACCACCTAAAGTTTAAACCAGGAGAAGGTGTCATTTCTACTCTACCTGATGACGGAGCCGGAGGTGCAAAGAATTAAAATCCATTTTTCAGTTTTTTGGTCTGTAATGTAATATATATATATATA